TGACGGAAAAAGCGCGGAGTGTGTCACACAAGACAGGGTCCTAACACACTAGGAATGTATATATATATAATTTATGACCCACACCTTCCCCACATCCCAGACTTTTCCACGATAGATGAGGTCAGACACCGTGAGGTCAAAGATGGCCAACTCTTCTGCGGCGTTCTTTGTTTAAAATGGGCCCCCTCGCCTCACCGAGTAAGTCACCCAAACTTTCAAGAGACTGGTTGCCCCTTGTTGCAGGTTGTGTGGGAATATTCCATCTCAATCATCTAACACCATCCAAAACCTCCAGAAGACTTCTTACTCCAGAGGCTATGCAGAAAATACTGTACTGTATGCATTTCCACGCGCAGAGACTAGCAGATCCATCGGCATCTTTCCTGAGCAAGGCTCCACAGATTGCAGCTATAACGACATTGGCACAGGGGAGGCCAGGGAAGTTGCTTGGGGTGGGTGTGTAGGTAGAGGTATACATAGGCAAGATAGATACAATTGAGGCAGATGGGCAAAATATATGCTTGACAAATATATACATATATACATACAGATATAGGTGATCCTCATTGATGCACATCAACGTTCCAGTTTGGAATTGTGGTGTGTAGAGTTTTGGTTGGCTTCGTAAGTGGTCAGTGAAGATATGACTGCCACAAGGCCCAGGTGGTTGCACTTGGTGATGCAATGAGTTCTGGACAAGTAGATCTGTCGTTGATACCCGGTGGTACGGTAGCCTCCAGGTGAATGGTTTTGGGGATGGTCAGAGTTCCCTGGGCCCCTAGCTTCCATCCCATGTCTTCATATTACTTTCATTCTTCTATGGACATTGATTTCAATCCTTAATTCGAGTCTCTTTTTTGATTCATGTGCATGTCGCGATTCTGAATCTGGGTGCTAAGCACCACTAAAGATACAGTACTTCACAAACGGCAACTCTGTTTCGAAACGGCTTGGCCCTCGGAGTCGCCCTGGCTTCGTGACTGCCCTCGATTTCATGGGGTCCTGTGAGGCAATGGCAGTTTTGCCTGGCTTCGTTGCCGGTGACCAGCGTTGCTCAAGGCTCTGCAGTGGCCGTTCTGGTTGGTGGAGTGTCCAGGCGAGACGTCCCGGCCGGGGCTTCTGAATTTGCGGCCGGGGTGGTGTGTGTGTGTGTGTCAACCCCTGTGCCTAAGGGTTTGGATTCACCTCATGCAGGGGCGTGCAGCATCTGTGGTCCACTGCACGCAACGAAGCTACGACCACAGATGGGAAGGGATCAAGGACGCTTGATCCTGTACCTGCCCAAACTTTTGACCAAGCTGTTACTCCACTTTTCCACTTTTTGCTTCCATGGTTCTTGCATGATACTTCCCCAAAACCCCGGTTTCTGCCGCTGAGTTGCACCGCTCGTTCGCCACCGCTGAGCTCTGCAGTCACACACCAACAACTTGTTCAACATTCGAGTGAACTGACTTTCTCGCCATACCGTTCCCTCACCATTTTCGACCTGGGAACTAATACAATTGTCAGAGTGTGTTTCGCTCAGCCGTCCCACTCGGGTGCTGAGTGTGATCCCCGTCACTGGGGCGCCGTTTCATTGGGAAAGCATTAACCGAACTCACCACCGCTCACAGGAACTCCACTGGAATTCACCTACACTTCCACTGAATTAACTGCCTCAACGGCCGCCGGGCCAAAACACGGGACTCCATAGCCGCCGGGCTTTAAAACGGTACTCCACCCACAGTCAGGCAGGTTTCCCAACCCCCCCCCAGCCGAGTTCTACTCCCCACCTAATTAGGGCAACATAGGGAAATGGTACTCGACGCACTTGTGTGTCGGTGCCTTTCCCTGTGTTGTTCCTGTTCTAGTCTTCTCTACCCGGGCGGTCTAAGACTAAAGCCCCGCTCCCTAACTACTGCACTTAATTATTTTCGGCTAAGTAATCAGTAACTCTAGAGTGCTAGGTAGTCAGACACACACATGTACACACACATGAACATACATCCCCTCCCTGCCCCCCCACTTTTCTTGTTGCGCTTTCCGTCGTTTGCAGGGCTACCTCAGGGGCTTTTTAGGTTGCTCTTCAGGCTCGTTTCCCTACCCCAGTCAAGGGCTAAGTATTCATTTTTTCTACAGTTATCTTTCTTTCTTGCCCTCTTAGCGCTGCTCTTTCTGTCTTTCCTTTCTTTTGTTTCTAAGGCTTTTTAGGTGACTATCTTACGTTTTATGGCAGAAGGCCACAAAGCGGCGGAGTGTGTGTACCTAAGAATTTTCCTTGTTTGATTCCAGCAGGGGCGCCGATCACGGCGATCTGTGTGTGTGTCAACCCCTGTGCCTAAGGGTTTGGATCCACCTCATGCAGGTGCAGCATCTGTGGTCCACTGCACGCAACGAAGCTACGACCACAGATGGGAAGGGATCAAGGACGCTTGATCCTGTACCTGCCCAAACTTTTGACCAAGCTGTTACTCCACTTTTCCACTTTTTGCTTCCATGGTTCTTGCATGATACTTCCCCAAAACCCCGGTTTCTGCCGCTGAGTTGCACCGCTCGTTCGCCGCCGCTGAGCTCTGCAGTCACGCACCAACAACTTGTTCAACATTCAAGTGAACTGACTTTCTCGCCATACCGTTCCCTCACCATTTTCGACCTGGGAACTGAGTGTAACTGAATACAATTGTCAGAGTGTGTGTTTCTTTTTGTCCGATTGGCAGTGCCAGGGTCAAACACAACCACGTTATAGAAATTATTCATAATTATTCTACATTGATGGTGTTTTACATTGTTCTGCATTGACTTCTTTGACTTCCTGATTGCACGGCGTCTCATGAAGAACTGGTATGAGTTCTGGGATTGCACTGACTTTTGCGGCCGGGTGTGTGGGTCATTCTAGAAATGGATCAATGCTGGGATTGTGATTGTTTGTTCAAATCCTGTAGCAATCGTATGCGGAAGGTCCGGAAGGTGTGTTCTGTCATATCAAACTATATAATTCTATCAATTTGGCTTTGCCTGCCTCATGTGGCAAACGTCCTTGCGGGGGCATGTGTGTATGCATTGCAAGCTGTCATTAAGAAGTTGTTATGACTGTGCACAGCCACCGCGTAGCAGCACGACGTTCGACTGCCTACAGCGCAGGTGCAGAGTAGATTGAACATGTTTGGACCGGATATTCCGAGCCTTCGGATCACTGACTCAAATGAAGGCATCTTGGAGCGCCAACCTGTGATTGCCCACAGGACTCTTTTATGATATTGGGGGAATCATATGGGGAATTGGTATTCGTTCACAGTACTTGTCACGATGCACTTGGGTCATTGGCCTCATTGGCCATGGCGGGACCTCGTTCGGTGGGTGGGTGAGAGGTCCCAGCCGCCGTGGGTGAGCTAGGTGTGATCGACCTGTGATCGCGCAGCTTCTGGATGAGTTGAACGGCCAGATGGTGAGAAACCTTCAGCCGATCTTCTTGCCAATGCGGTCGATGCACGGAAAATTGGTTCGCTTGGGGAGGGCGGGCACTTGAGTAGTATTTTGAAAGTGGAAAACAATTACCGTAACAAACAACAATTCTCTTTTGGAGCTTTGCGAGCGGTTGATTGATGCAAACGAGATCCAACATACAAGATACACATGTCCCGAGACGCCCCGCCAACTGGCCAGAAATATGAACCCTCCCTTAGTGAAAACCCGGATCGACCCCGGCTCGCCTGCTTCTGGCTCGGTACAGTGGTCCCGGTCCGCCGATCCGGGTTGACAGGCGAGGAAAGGGTGACAGGCGTATCCAACAAGCAGTGAAGATAGTGAAGTGGAGCATGGTAGATGAGCCTTGAGAAGTCCAAAATACAATCAAAGGGTGTTGAATGGTTGTTCTGGGCCCCTCACCTGCCCAGTGTGCGACAGCAAGATAAAGTATCGTGTGAATAGTCGGCAGGATGAAGTGAATTCCGTCCCCCTCCAAACCGTAAGCATAGTTGGACATGCAAATGAACACCCCACGAGACCACTCTGCGTTTTCCAATCCAAGGGAGTGATGGGAGTACGACGGACGATTCATGCTCTCAATGATGCCAGGATCATGCTCTTCTTGAGAAGAGCACGCTTCAGTTTGGCCCTCAGATGAGTACATACAGTAGCACATAGTAGTACCATTGCAAGTGCGTCAGCTAGATTTGGCCATGAGGTTGCTAGGAGTTGCCTGCTGTGAGATACCCGGGATGTGTCTCAAATCCTGCCTGTAGGCTGTAGGCCTGTCTGGGCATTTTGGACTATCCCTAAGCCCAGCCGCCCTCGGTTCACGTTGCACATCTTCGTCCTCACATGTCTGGTGAATATCAACGGCAGGTGGTGCTGTGTGAGGAAGAGTGCTCTCCTTGATAACACACTCTTCAGCACACCATTTCTGTTAAACGCGGAGGTCGTCCCCAGATCTTCCGCAGAGTACGGGTCCCCAGATCTTAGGAACAGTTTCGCAACGAAGACATTACCGATCTACCAGATTTTAGAATTTTGCGGTGTTTTCAGTCCTTCTAGCAAGTGATAGAAAGATTGGTCAAGTCAACCTGGGCTGTTTTAGTCACTTGGTGGTGCAAGCTATGCTACTTGTTTAGTGTTGAAACATTTGCATTTGGTCAGCGGTCAAGTAATGCCATACTATGCCACACTGACAACACTGGATGTCATGGTGCATGGGCACGGGGCATGTTTGATTTATTTATATCTATTTTTAACTTTTTGTACTTAGAGAGCAGTAGAGAGCGGCTGCTAAAATTGCAGGCTTGGGAAGCATTCTGTTTTGGCGCTAGGCGAACTAGCCTAAACGGTGCGAACGAAGCAACTCAAATCACCATCCCGCCAGCCTATGCATGCAACTTTGCACTAGGCTTTTGCTGGAGTTGCTGACCGACCAGCACTCCGTATCACGTCTGGGCCTTGATCAGAAATACGTCCAAGCGACGCGGTCTTTCAGGCACAAGATGGTGTACAACGAATATCAACGAACGAAACGAGTAACGTCCCGACGTGTCCAAGTGTTTGCTTATCCCTTGGGTCCTAGTGGAGCAGTCCTCCTCCGTCAGCTGGCTGTAGATGGGGAACTGGGCAATTACAAGTATCTCAAAACTTAGTGGACATTTCCAGATCAAACCAGTGCTGAAAATCAGGCGGGGACGTGTTGCTGTCCTGACAGTGTGTGGGATAGGACGGCCGGCTTCGCGGACACTGTCCATGCCACTGTTTTGTCGTCCATCTCTCCATTGCATTTGAAGATACCGGTAAGAGAAGACAAGAAGAATTCAACAAAAAGCAAATAGCACAAAAAAAGAACGAACACCAGAAGAACAGACTAGATGAGTCGCAAAAAGGAAGACATCGATGCCGAAGGAGGGACCATCCTGGTGAAGGCTGAAGTGCACAAGTGGCTTTGGGACTGCGGGGAGACTGCAAGATAGATGACTAGAGGAGTTGAAAGTATGCAATGGCACATTTGGCTTTGATTCCTCAAAGCACATGCACTACCTTGGACTTGATAGAAACTTCAGGATGAACGCCTCCCCATCAATGAAAAAGCATGCCTTTGCAGATGGCAGCGTCCATCAGTGCCGACAGATCTTGGGTCACTGGCTTTGGAGAGGGCCCTGCAGGAGGAGTTGCGCGAAGCAGCGCAGCCCAACCTCGCAAAAGAGTGCCTCGGCCAAGTTCGATGGGATGCAGATGGGATGTGCTGCAGTGATTTGATGTCAAGAACTGCAAAGTGCAATCACCTTACCTGCAGTTTGTTCAGGTGTGCCCAATTCAACCACCTTTTAGAATCTTTTAGATTTGTTGTGGGATGTTTGGGTTGTTTCTCCAGATGTTTGCTGCACCTCCTTAGAGGCATAAAATAACCAGGCAGTCTACAAGCCAAGGATGAACCCCTTGACCGAACGCATCCGTTGTCATCCAGCCTCACCGACCCGTGTGCTCCGTGTTTTCAATCAGGCGGGAAGCCAGGGCGGTGGAAGACGCGCGCCGGCGCCAAGAAGAGGTGGACATTTGGGTGGATGTACATGCGTCAGTCTGAAGGGAAATGAGCCGGAATGAGAAATGAACATAGTATTATATATATATAAGTATGTTTTCATGGTTGCTGTTTTTGCAAATGTTCTTGGTAGTTTGGGAATGCCTGTTGGTTGGGCAAGCCTTGTGGGGCAGGTGAGGACCATGCCTCGTATATTACTTCATTTGTTTTTGGCCCACATATTCACGCCTGTGTGTGCGCCTGGCTCCGACACTTTTCACTGAGGGGAGATTCCATACAATAGGATATTGATAGTACATATTACACATGCACAGTGTTGACATGGTCGGGTAGAGGATACTCTGGATAGTGAGCCCCTAGATTGCCAGTGTTTGGCAGACTGTGCGGTCTGACTGGACGGATGTCATTGTATTCGGTAACTAACAGGTGCTTCAGCCCATCAAGCTGTTTTGCCCTGAAGTCTTGGCGGATTTTTTGAGGTGTGGAACCACATACCGTATATTGAACTGCCCTCAATTAAGAAAAGAAGCCGGCGCAGCAGACGGCAGAGGACCATTTGATCTTGGCCTGGAGGCCCTAAGTGTGCAACAAATTGACCGTTTTCGCACTTCCAGTAACTGCAAACCTCAAACCTTGGATTAAAGATCCAAAACCACAGTTCCAGAGCTATCATGGACCATCATGGGCAATGGACATCCCAAAACGTTCCGCTGAGTCGGGCGCACGGCCTGGGCAGGTCAAAAGGCTTCGAAGTGAGGTGCAAAGGGGCCGCTAACAGCAGGTGTCCAAAAGCCAAAAATCCAAGATGATTGATTTATATTAATGTATTGTCATGGGTTCTGGTTCATCTCGCTGGTACATCAGCCCAATTGTTTTTGGGTGCTTTTTGGGTACCATTCACCGGAAGAGGACTAACCATTCACCGGGAGAAATAACACGCGGTGGTTTTTGTGACGCATCGTCGTTAATAAGCATTTACCCAAAGGATTGTTCAATATGAGAGTTCTCGACCAGTTCTGAACACAGGGATCCGATGACATGTCTAATTAATTACTAGTGCATGGTGTTCCGTTCAGAACGCAAGCGAGGCGTCAATATGGCGGTTGCTCCAACTTGCCTTCCTGATGCTGCCCTTAGCAATTTATTGGCCGGCCTGTGCCCAAGCGTCCAATTTTTGCGCTCAGACGTCGGACAGACGGACAGATCTTCTTCGGAAGACACAAACGTCGGTGTGTGGCATCTTGTGGCCTAAGGTCTGGTTTATGGACCCCATTACTTTTTGGAATTGGGTCTCTGTCCTTCTGGCGAGCTTCTGAATTCGGGAATGATACAATTGGCATTGATGAGAGGCAGTGGAGCAACCCTGGTCCTTACCCTTGAAGGTGCCCTTGAAGGTGACAGAGTCAAACGGCAGAACCATTGGTTGTTGTGTCGGCCCAGGGATGGCACTTGCCATCTCCAGGGTGTGATACCACTTTAGACCATCACTTGAGGCTCCCAAAGGGGTGTGCTGTGCCCTTTCTTCGAGTGGGGCCCACATGGCAGGCGCGGATCGATAGCTGCGGGCCTTGCTTCATCAAGCGGCGGCCCCAGTGGGTTTGATGCGTGAGCCTCACACCGAAGTTGCACTGACAAGCAGGACAGTGGAGCGAAAAACCGAAGGATTCGGTTCCAACAACATGGTTTTAATGTGCTTTCAGCTTTAGCTGTAGCTTACAACATGGCGTCCTGCCAAGCTGGCCGATGGAATCTCAGCTTTTGCAGGGGTTTTGGGGTGAAACTTTTGAATTGCAATAGCCAGGGCAGGAATTTGAACAGTTTTTTGATGTCAAATATTGTATGCACACACAGTTTAGGGGTGAAGCTGCCAGCGGCTCAAGCTGCTTGACACATGTCATGTCATCTATACTATACTGCTACCATCCCATGACATGTGGCCGACATGAGTGAATATTGAAGGTGCACTCACGCAATAGTCTTAAAGTGCACTAAAGTGTTCTCCTACGTGCTTGAATAAGCAGCTTGTGGTAAGACTTTAAGATACTTTAAGGGGATACCACTACCCAGGGTAGAACTCAATTTGTGTGAAAAAGAGTCAACCTGACTGACCATATAATCATATATAGTGAGGGCTACATTACTTGCTTAGAAAACTGCCCAGCAACCACCTGCCTGACCGCTTGCGTGCGGTCGCTTGCGTGCGTGGATGGACGACTTTCTGGCCACCTCTATACGTGGATGCCTCAGTGGACGCTGACTGGAGATCGGGCCACATCGTAACTGAGACAGAGGGAGGAGATTGATGCGGTTTGCCTGCGTAACACTGGAGTGTACTGAGGTCAGGTGAACATGACAGAACATCGAACGGCATGGCTTTTTGCATGGCATCCCTGGACTATAAAATTACCAGAATATATATATATATAGCTACTTTACAGGTATGCACCTGTCATCCCAGCGCCCCTGGTTGCTCATTTACCACAGAAGTTTGATGAAGTTTGTTTTCATGTTTGACTTGTTGGAGCAATCATTCGGGGAGGCGAGGGGATGAGCAAGTGTGGCTAAGTGGTTCTCCTGGAGCCGTCAGTGTCGTCATAGAGCGCAACCTCTTGTTCGGAAAGAGCATCCACGTCCCTCTCCGGGACGTTTTTTCAACGTTTTTCTTCAATGTGAGACCAGAGGGAGTAGATGATTGGGGGGACCACAGTATAAACAAGGGGTGTAGGTCCCTCTCTCTCTCTCTCTAGGTTCTTCAGCACTTGTCCCATTGGACTTGCTCTAGCACGTTTGTATAATGAGCTTGTGGGACTGCATTTCAGGCTACTATGCAGAGTTTAATCTGGAGCGCCAAGCGCCACGAAAACCGGACGATTCGGCGGAGGAGGCCTTTGCCGCGGTGGTGACGCTTTTCTTGACTGGAGGTTCGGAAATGTTCTTCAGACTCCCCAGGTAGCACCTTCTAGAGCCACGTCATTGTTATTTTGGAAGCTTCCAGATCTTCCATTGATACTTGTGACTTGTGCGAAAAGCCCGGATGGCGTTGATATGAGCTGATGACCTCAAGCTGGTCGTCAGAATAGTGACTAGTGGTTCTACTGTATTAATGGCCCGTTCGCAAAGTGTGTTACATCTAGGGAGATACAGTACCTCACTCGCCGCCCCCCAAAGAGACGGTCCTGGACTGTCGCGCATGAGCGTAGTGCAGACTCCGAACTTCGAACCAAGGAAAGGCATCAAGGCCTTCATGGATGAAGCCACCAGGGTGGATGTTCCCTGGCACGCAATCAGGACTTGGTCCCAATGGGTCCGGCTCAAGCAGTCTTCAAGGGATTAGGTTTCATGGTTCCATGTTTGCCTCTTTTTGATGGCACACTTCACAAAGCATACCTTTCCAGGAAGGTCCCATGTCCTTTGTCGGGTCCTTTGCTTCGATCGTCTCGTTGCCCCTAAATGACGTCACATATCATTGGCTCAAGGATGCCAATCAAACCTGTGCTGGTTGCTACCGAGTGCTCCCGACAAAGGGCTGAGCGATTCGCTCAGGAGGAGTTCCGGCAGCTTTGGCGGGAGACTGTGGACTCCTTCCAGCGGCAGCGGGAACCGGTGCCGCGGCTGAGGGGACATGGTCCGAAGAGTTGAGGTAAAGCCTGGCCTGGAATTTTGCTCAACATGTTGAGCTTGCAGGATATGTAACTGGGACTGTGCCTGGGAGTTGAGTTGAGCTGCAAGAATTAACATCTTTTGAACCTGGCGCTGCTTGTCGGTTCCATGGTGTCCCATGGGCATGTGTCAGGAATGCACGATGGACCATGTTACTGGTTTAATTTGTTTAATAATGTAGGTAGGTGCAGTAGATTTGGATGATATGCACAGGCAGAACCAAAGCTGGCAACGCACATATAAAGACATAACCTACTTCCCTTAGAATCCTACAGAGGCTCACTGGGAACACTGCTGGACGAGTTTCCACCCTCAAAACAAAATCTAGCAAAATTGAGCTCGGGGCGGAAACTCCTCCGCCGGACCAGGAGAAGTTATGTCCTGGAGAGAAAGTGTTACCAAACATCCGTCCTCCTGAAGTATCTGTGGGCCTGAGACCATTTTCTTGCCCTGATCGCCCATGACGTCCCGATCCTGCGGATTCGCAAGGAATTGAAGGAGCACGCTGCGGAGGTGCAGGGGGCTGTGGCTTGGATGCAAGATCGAGAAACTCTCACACATCAGGGAATACCTACCCTGACAGTGCCTGAGATTACATGAGATTACTCAGTTTTGCTTTATCTCCCCACTATGTCGGCAGAAGAGCGTGAACAGATTAAACAGTTAGCCGTTAGCCTCGTTTGTCCACGGAAACTGAGGATCAAAATGTCTTTGGAAAATAGGTCCAGGCAAGATGCCGCTCTGTACCATCTTTGCCATGGGCTAGCCGGGCATCATTCCTCACCTCAGACATGTTTCCCCTCCCACCTCAGAACTCAAACTTCCAGTTTCAGCTGGCGGTGTGAAGGAATACCAACAATCCCCTCCTCCACCTATTCAAAAGCATGGCCCCCATTAACAAAATCAGGTCACGGCTGTTCGCGTGCCCGCAAACATACTGTTTTGATGGCAAACCCCCTGTTTTGAAGCCAGACGGCTTCGTTCCGCCAGAGGCTTCGTGCCGTGTGTTCAACCAGGTGATGAACCTGGCCAAAGAACTTCTGCCGAAGGTGCAAGCACAGGAGCCCTTTTTGGGGGTCAGCTTGCAGTACCAAAAGAAAGGGACAGTAGGTGAGTCAATGGCACAAACGCATCGGTATTTCCAGATCAATGCAAATGAGACACGCACATATATATATATATAGCATTTCCTCTAGAAAATGGGAGGGGTTGTGGTCCCCTAATTCTTTAGCAAACTGGCGCGGGGGTACAACCTGAAAGGTTGTGCCTAACCATTTTCTAGAGGAGAGGTACCTCACTGGAGAATGAACACGAGCCCTCAAGAGTCATTTTCTAGAGCCAGGATATGGGTTTTAGAGAGTCATTTTCTAGAGAGCTACCTGGTGGAAAAAATGAGCACCAGTGAGCATAGCACTCAAGAAAATTGAGAAGTGTCCTGTGGAGTCTTCTAGACCTGAGATTCTAGAGAAAGGAGTGGTGTTCTGTTTGGGGTTGTGCCCCTCCATTTTCTAGAGACCCCTGCTTGCCCGCTGGAAAGTGCCACACAGAAGCCTTGGTGTGAGCAAGGCAGGGCCCCAAGAAAGCAAGACCTGACATTCTATGATTTGTAGAAACCCACAACGGCCAGACTCGAGATTCTAGGACCCGCCTTTCTCAGGACAAGGCTTCTGTGTGGGACTTTTTGCAGCAAACAACCAGGAGTCTCTATTGAGAAAGGAGTGGTGTGCTGTTTGGGGTTGTACCCCTCCTTTTTCTAGAGATCATTTTTCGTTTTACACATTTTGTCACAGATGATCTAGCACTCCATAGCCAGTTGTTGGAACATGTTGGAGACATGTTGGGGGTACGACCTCTGAACCTGTACCCCATCATTTTCTAGTGAAAAAGTTTCTCCAACTAGAAAATGAACAAATTGTTCATCAACATTCTCTAGAGGCAGAGGTGTCAGGAACCCTCATTTCGTAGATGATTCTCTAAAGAATGGGTTGAACGGCCCCTCTGTGCTAATATCAAGGGGGATCACACGCACACACACACACATATATATATACATATCGTATATTATATATCAAGGGGGGTCACACACACACATATATATATATATACATACATATCGTGTATATATATATATATACAGATTTTTAATGAATATCTATATAAACACACACGTGCATATGAGACGGAAACCGGAGGAAGGTGCGGACATGTGCCATTCGGGTGTCTTTCTCAAAAGGCAATCAGTGGAGCTTTGCTTCCTCCCGCGTCAGCATATTTGCGATCTCTAAATTTTGTTCCGTACTTGGGTAGAGGGTAGAGAGCAAGAAAACACATCCATGCCCAAGATTTGAGAAGTCTATGTTTGGATGCATCGCTCGTCGAGCAGATAATTATCCCAGTTTTGTAAATTCAAGACCCATCTCTTTGAACGCAATTACGGTACCATCGGTACCATCAGATAGCCTGTACAGAGCTTCGTTACAGAGCCCTCCATGTTGCTGCAGGCCACATGAAACAAGGACAGACCGAAAAACCATTTGGGACATTCTAGAATGATGGAACCCGAACTACTCCAGAGAGTATATATGTGGGCGGAGCCAGGAGCCGTTGCCCCTTGAACTCCTGCAGCAGCTGAACGCGGCTGTCCAGCGTTTTGAGTCCCGCTACTCTGGTGCCCTGGTGACTTGACTGAAACAGGTGTGAGCGGCCGTGAGGAATACACCAAGAGAGGTGACGGCCTGAGAACGGGAATACGTACTGCTGGCCGTTGAACAATCACAGCTTGGGTTGACACGACTGAGCATTGCACCAGATGTTCCACGACTGAGCATTTGGAGACGAACCGCCCAAACACAACTCTTGGCTTCTAGGTCTCAAGATGTGCAGCGTTGCAGTGGGATCACTTGGAGTTCAGCACCTGGGGGGAAGCCTGAACAGGATTTTCATGAGCCATGAGCCCTTGAAAAATTATGAACAATCGTTAGCAAGTATGAATTGGGCATCATACATCATGGGGTTCGTAAAAATCAGAGGCTTGGACTTGGATCTCCGTTGAGTGCGTACCGATCACCGGCCAAACGCCTCCAGAACCAAGGGAAAGTCAGACCTCCTGCCAGAGCAATTGCTCACGGCTGCGCCAGGATCAAAGTTGCATCTGGTCATTGTTTCGAGGGCCAGGTTACAGACTGTCCTGACCAGAAAAAGCGAACTGAGAGAAGAGAGCGAACTCATTGAAGGTGATTTTGGGAGTTTTCCTAAACTCCAACATGCACTGACTACTGAACTGACTCTACATAATCATATGTAATATGTGTTTCCTAAACTCAACATATTTTGGTGACTGTACTGAACTCTTGAAGTACAAAGCACACGCTCGAGATCACAGTTTTCCGCAGCTTGCAAGATTGGCTGCTCAGGAAATATGAAGTATCACAGTATCATGAAGTATATCATATGGAAAGTGAACCCACAAGACTAGATGACATGCTGCACATCACCCACACTGGTTTCTTTAGACTCAGGTATCCTGGCCTGCTTAAGAAGGCAGGCTTGGCCGACCGAACAGCACGTCGACAGTACGGAAGCAGCGCACGCATAGAGCTCGCTATTGCTATTTGACCCCCGTGCGTGCCCAGACCCTACAACTCATTTACTTCCACATGATGTGACATCCCATGAAGACACATGGCGTGCCCGTTGCTACGAGGTCCACATTGATTGATTTGACTTACATAACCCGCTAGCAGTAGCTCCGTAGGACCCCCAACACAACTAGATTTGGAGGCATGCGTTCTTCATCATTCTTCCCACAAATCATAAAGCAACCCTCAACGATCCATCATGACCCCAACACGGACAATGAGATTTTGTGTTGGGATTCCCGTCGCATTCGTCGCACACCTTCGTATATCGAGAACGTCGTTCGTTTCGTTCGAACGTTGTTCAGGTGGAGGCCATTTGTCACCGATCCATTGCTGACTTTGAGCAGCGTGAGGTGGACACCTTCCGTGCGGGGTCGCCTGGGAATCTCTGGGGAGATCACCCGAGTCGCAACCTGTAACTGGGTGGTACCGAGACCGGGCCGGGCCATGGCATACCTGAGGGCTGCAGCAAAGAGGTCCCTGTACCCATCAAGGCAGGTTTGATGGTGTTCAAGTTTATCATCATGTGAAGCACAACCTTCGGTGGAGGAGCAAAGCAACATCTGTGACGTGACTACTGCTTGATCACTCATGGACCGCTGATGGACCGCTGATGCAGATGACTATCGGAGACATGCCAGGCATGCAACATTGTATAATTGTAGCGCGCTAGCACTTAGAACAACCCCACTCATGACCATAGACTTGTCATGACTCGTCTAATTGCAAGACCACCCCTCTAGCTTGTGACGATTTCTTATTTACTCAGCTGCCCTACCAGCCTCAGGGAACAATGACAAAGTACGTTACATTCTCCCTATACGGTAGTTGTATGAGAGTGATTGTGATGGACCCGTGACTCAAAGTGACACAGACAACGGCCTTCGGATCATTGGACCAAAGATCAAAAGCAGCTTCCATCGATGCCTGGCCGGGATTTGCACCTTGAGAGTTCCACGAAGGCTCCAACAGTACGGCACGGCCCTTCGTCCCCAGCGGTCAGTGTGCCAAGGCCTGGCTTCAACAAGGAGCTCACGTGGCAGACTTCGACACGAAGGTCAAGGCGCTCTCAGAGGACCGTGAAAGCGGCTGGGCGAAGATGATGTGGAAGAGCAGGTTGTACTTGGACTACAAAAAGTTTCAACTTGTTTGTTGGATAATTGCAAGCTAAACCCAAAAGATGTTGCCGCAACATTAGAAGATTTGAAGATTGTTCATTTGTCCTTCCCTAGGGACTGAGATGACTCCTGGACCCCAAGACAAGTATAAGTCCAGTCAGTTTTAAAAGCAAATGACTCCCAGCCCACGGCATTTTGCGTGGTTTCGGAGTTCAAAGGGTGCACTCATCTGTTGCGTCGCCCAAAGCCTGAGACTGAAGAAATCATTCCACGACTCCACGGCAAGGAAGAACAAACACTTTATAGAAACTTTGGAGCATCGTCATTGCATGTGCTGAACCAAGATTGGGGGGGGCACTGGGGATGAAAGAAAGACATATAAAAGACATAACAAATAGACAGAAAGCAAGAAAACTTGACTACAGTGGCAGGTGTCGGGGCTTCAGCTTGGACACTGTTGCACTACTGCCCAGGCAAGATCAAGAGATTGGTTGAAATGCATCAAGACTGCCTGGTGCAATCCGATCATTTGCCACTCATCGACGAAGTCCAGTTAGGCAACGGAAGGGTGGGAGAACCCTAATAGCCAAGGGAGAGATAGAGAGCGAGAGAGAGCCGGAACGTGTGAGAGCGAGAGCAAGAGGGAGACGGAGAGGGAGAGAGGGGATGCAGCGTTCCGCACTTGAAGTAGCATAGAACATCTTCCGAGCGTTGTCTCATGTTTGCCGAGATCCTCTGTGGACCTGCACCATGGTGAGCACCAAAAGCAGAGCAGTGACCGAGTCACCACCTTAGGAACGATCAGTAGCCGCATATGCCTGAGGGATTGGTCGGCCTACAACTCCCCCCGTGAACCAGAGCAGAGCGGGCGTGAGTCTCGAACGCAGGAGATGGACACATCAAGGTGATGATTTGGAACACTCTGGAGTTTCCATCTCTGAATTCGTCGCCTGTGACGGATGGGTGGCTTAGCCTGAAGCTGTGGTGGGCAGCCCGCAGTCTTCTCAAACATTCTCAAATTTTTTGGCAGGGATGGGATGATGGAAACTCCTTGAACTAGTCCAAGCTGGAGTTATTTTCTCGAAACCTACAGCAGGTGCAGGATTGACATGTGTACTGTACTGCTGCACTGTCGTTCCTGCTTTGGTAAGGCAACTTCTATGTCAAACACTAGCTTCACCCAAATTGATGGCCTACTGGCTTACTAGCCTGTGGAAATGCGATAACTCCTCCAAACCTGTCCAGGTCAACATTCAACCATATCAATCAATAATAGATGAGAAGATCTCTCCAATGTTGTTTGACCTCACCTGTGCAATCATTCTTATTCAGGATTTGCATTCTACGGCAGTTGAGGAGAGCCTCCAAAAAGACCTGCGTTGTACTCAGGATTTTGCCCTACTGCAGTGAAGTCACAGCGACTTTGGAGCGCACCGCGGTGTGATTCATCCGCCCCAGTTTTCAGGGTGATCAAAGCACTGATGATCCCAAAACTAGGCCTTGTGTCCTGCATTACTGGGCGACACTGTGCGCAGTTGTTCAACTCCTTTCACCTAGACCTTTTTCATGGTCATGCTATCGGGCACTACCAGATGTTGTGCTTTGTTGTGTAAGTTTGGGCACAGGCAAGACTGCAGAGGACGGGCATTTGGGTGGCAGGCCGCCAGTCAGTTTCTACAAACGAGAGTGAATGAGATTGAAAATTGTTGAAACTACTCAATCACCGTCATAAACATTGTCTAATATGCTGAAAGGAGTTCTGAAGGCGGCTTCCCTGCAAAAAATTGCATCGCGTGGCACGCCCCCCTACACACACTCACTCCCTCCCTCCCTCCCTCCCTCACTCATTCACTCACTCACTCACTCACTCACTCACACAACAAGTGCCAACCTGGTGATAAGGACACTAGTCACTAGTCTTCTGAAATCTTTTGAACCTTTGAACTCGCTTTCTGAGATGTGACGGGTGCCTGGTGAGGCCGCCAGGGTGAGGCCATTTGGAAACCGTGACATCGTTTGACTGTGTTTGGAGGAGAGGGCACTGCTTTTGGGGGCACTATGCTCAGAAGCAGTCACCTAGTTGCACTTCAGCCATGGAAGACATCAAACGCAGTCTAAACTTGTGTGGATGTCGCCTGGAGAGGGAAAGCTAGGAATCATATCGTATCCCAAGATCACGACCATTCGAAGACGGTTACCCTGGCATTGCCTAAAGACCATAGAAGATCCTGGAGGGTTAGGTTTCATGATGATCTTCCAAGAGGAGGTTGAAGCGTTTTGATATATTTTGCAGCATTTGCATGGTAGCCTAATCCGGCAAGGTTCTGAATCAATGTTTATCAGTGTTCTTGTTCTTATACTACCTTCTTGAATCGGACTCTAGGAGTCTAGAAATTGGTCATCACATCACTTGATTAGCCCACCTGGCCTCATGCCAAGAGAGAGGTTGTAAGTGTAGCCTAGCATACATATAATCCATAAACATTTTCTTGCGAGGTCGAGGAGTGCCGCACGCCACGCGTGTGCAAAGCCGCTTAGCCCGGAAGAGCCAAGCCACTTAGGCCATCAGGGGCCACATCGACCTCATTTGGACAAAAGTGCGGGACTTTCTGGAGGACTGTGATGGCGTGGTCTTACTGCAGGAAGCGAACAAGGATGTGGTGGCCAAGGCCCTTTGCACTCGGCATTGGCTAGCGGCTAGCAACCACTCACCAAACCTACTGTATACAATACGACTAGCTAAACATTCACTTTGGCTTCACTGCATCGTTCATTATAGAATGTAGGGCAGCGGGTGTGGAAAAGAATCTGGCTGATTTGTCGTGCACACCCTCTCGTCATGTCTCATATGAGATAGAGGCAGTTTTGCACCTTATCTGGAGCCCTTCTTCCTTTCTCTATGACTAGTGGCTGGATGTTTCCTGGCCATGTCCACATGTCACACATGTGTGATGCCTGGGATGCTGAAGCACGGTGAGATGAAGTGGCAGATTCAGACAATTTCATGGGGTCCAATAGTTAAAAGCTCGTTTGTGCATGTTTGTGCTACGTGCATTGGCTACAGTATCATATTATGTTGTTGTATGCATAATATGTACTGTAGTTACAGTTGTATTTATACGTGTACTCATATGTTCTTTTTTTACGATTTGAGGCATTTATGAGGCATATCAATTGGAGCCTGCTGACTCGGATTTGAGTCATCATACGTCACCACGAAAGTAGTTCGGAACAGTTCGCCCTTCTACCACATTGACCCGCCGGTGCACTCTCACACTCTGAAAAGCACACGTTTACGCCGTTAACGCGGCTTCTGTGGCTGAAGGTCAAAGAAGAATGCGATCAGCTTCTCGGCTGCTCCAAGTTCCAAGCAGGTGGACCTGACGGACTCAGAGTTCTGACGGCCTTTCCCCTAAACAGCCAATTCTGACGTCTTGGGGAGCAGGTGAACGTCAACAGGCAGAACAGGCAGCGTCTTGGTGAGGTTCCCAATTCTGTGATCCCTGTATATAGTAGGTTTCAAGGTAGAAGGCAACTGAGTGGACCAACGGGTTGTGGAAATGAATCCTTCGTCATGGAGCGTGTTACAGATCCCTTCGTCTTTCTATATACTGTATATATACAGTATATACACATATATATATATATATGTATTATGTTCAAAGGTATTGTTGGTGATCTGTATTAATATTCCCGCTGTTCGACCTGGTGCAGCATAGGATCCATGAGGGCATACATGTTCAGGCCCAGTTTGCTGATATTGCTCTTGTCTCACATGGACCATGAAGCGATTCAGGCGAAGGTGGACCGCCTTGTTTTCTCAAGCCAATGAAAACAGTGGCTGGGCTGAGCTCAAGAGACGGTGGGATTAGCTTGCAATCTGATATGGTGGGAAGCGCCTGGAGGATGACTCTAATTGAAAAGCTGTGGTAAATTGGGTAGGCTTTTACATGTCTATAATGCATAATTGCCGTAGTGTCCCCAGGTTGCCATACTTGATGCTTTGCCTTTGCTGCTTAACACCGCTGCAGCAATGGCCGTTATATATAGTGGCTTTCTCTCCGTTGAGAGTCGGTTAGAGTATGCTGATCCTCTTTCTGTGCAACCCTGTGAGATGATTGGTTGCAAAAGCAAAGCTCGGTCCACTGGCTTTCCTCAATGTGTGCGTATGGCTGAGGTAGCAAGTGCAATGCCATCACCGGCATCGTGTCGAAGCAGCCCTTCGATCAAGAAGCACAGGCAGCGGAGATCAGGGATTAAGGACTTCTTCGTGCCAATCCATGATATACATATCAGAGAAAAAATATGTTTATATAACTGTTAAGTAGCAGACAATGGTAGACATTGAGCTTCAACAGTCAAGTTGACACCTTTAGTGATGTCAGATATTCTTCTTGGGTGTGCGAAGGTCGTACCCAAATGTTTGCGGGAATCAGGGCCTAGAGAGATCACGCTGGAGAAGGGATGTGGGCACCGACCGGCAACCAAACACCCATTCCAGGAGTTATATAGTTACACTGGTTGCACAATGCGCATCCCAACATCACTTGAAGATGAAGATCTTTTGTTTCCCTGATCCCATCTATTTGCAGGTGGAAGTTGCAGAAAACAAGAAACTCCGTCCAAGCCTCAGAACCGTGAAAAGCGGAGGTTCAGGAGGCGGAATCTTCATGAATCTTCGGGTTCCTCTTGGGTTTTAGATGGAAAGAGCTTGATGTGAAGCTTCATCCCAGGATTCTTTATGGCCGCCAGGCAGCAAGACACCTGGTTTGTGCCCGGGGCCCTGGTCAACTGCTTGGCTTGGAAACGGTGGGGGCTCTAGCCCGAGCAGCTCTCATCCCACGAGGTTCCCCATGGTTCATAGGGTTCCGTTTGGGACCCACACTTGTCATTTTTCGCCACTTTAGTTGGTCAGTTGACATCGGTGCACAGTGCAGTGCAGATTGTTCAACGGGATGGTGCCGGGCACGTAGCTGCCTGCGTGTTGTGCGGTTGTATGTCAGTGGTCCAGCCCTTGTGCAGGTCCTGCCATGTGCCACTGGTGGTCGGGAAGACGGTAGCGCCAAAAGCCAACGAGGAGCTTTGGCTTGGGGACGGCTTTTGCCTCCCATGGGTTCAAATCCGAGGGTTCCTGGCTACTCACAGGAAACAAGTTGCTCCAACATGAACAGATCTACCGCAAAACCAGGATTGCATAGGAGTTTGTTTTCCTTCTGTAGGACTCAGGTACCAATAGCAATTACTCAATTGATTTCAATAGCTATGGTGTTGTACAAGAAGAGAAGATTAGTACTTGTTGTTTAGGACATATCCTTGAGGCATGTTGGGGCTACTTCCCAACCCGGCTGAGGGTTCGATAAGTCATGCATGTACTTAGCCAACCGAGAACACAATCGAAAAAATCACTTCTGAACTATGCCATGCTGTGTGTCCCCGCCGTTCTGTGGTTGGTTAGCCATACTTATTTGCCCCAAGCGTTGGCCGAAGAAAGAATCCGCCACAACAGAACCTGGCTGAAGATGAACTTGACAAATGATGTGAAAAGGTCACCAACAATTGATAACAATTCTATACACCTCCAAGCAGTTCTGCCCAACCCTTTGCAGGACTTGGCCACCAAAGTGCTTGAGCAGATCGCCTCCGATCTACCAGGCGGCGGGTCAATGGGTCGATGCCGTTTCCGTCCGACCCCACGTGTCGGGGACCGGACGGGCCGGAAGGCCGGCTCCACAGTGTTTTGCACGTGGCCGAACTGATTGAATTCGCCTTCATGCAATGTGGTGAAAGTTCAAGAAGTTAGCGAATTGCTTTGTTAGAGTAGGCTGCAGGCTTAGCTTCATTGATGGTCGAAAAGTATTTTGCATGTTTCTTTGGTCGAAGTCAACACTAGACTCACCAGACTGCCGGTGACCCCACCAACCTTCTTGTTGGAGCGGGAGTTGTGCAAAAAACCAAGCGCCTCATCATCAGGCCTCAACTTTCCCCCACAAGAAAAGTGGTGCGACGTAAGAGGTAGGGAGTTCTGAGCTGGCTGACGCGGATTGTGTGTGTGTTGAGTGCTGTTCTCTTCTGAGAGAAAGACCTACAATTGCTGACATTGTGGTCCCCCGGTATGTTTGGGCTGGACTTCCCCTCAAACAAGTTATCCGGAGTTTTGAAGGTGAGGTTCCTTTGCCCTTTGCCTTCGGATGCTCATGACTCGGTTTTGGCAGGATTCCTACAGAAAGTGCCAGTGTGGTGACGCCCTCCAACGCAGGTGCACGCACTCTCGTCGCCGGCGGCGATTGGAACGCGGATGTTTACGAGGCCAATGGGGGGAAGCTATCATGGAACGGAAATGGCAGGCCAACTCAAGCACAATTTGTTGGGGCGCTGGCAACATCAGCAACATCCAAACATATAGATCATCCGGGAACATGTTTGATGGTGGGTCAATGCGCAAGGCCACCGGGTCACCATCAAAGACCCCCATCACCATGGTGGATGTCGGCGGTCCAGCCCAGCGAGCCATCGGTCTTTTCAGGTGGCTTCACGCAAGCCGACCGGGCGGCTATTTGGCTTGTAGATGGTGCTGAGCTGGTGTCAATCGGGATTGAGATGGGTCAAAGCGGGCCTCGTAGATACCTCAGGTGGATGTGGGCGGATGCATGCAAAGCAATTACGTGTTGGATGTTGAACCATATTTGGGGGTTCTGTGTTCAGGAGTGTGTGCAGAAGCACCTACAGTATTCATCACAGATGCCTCTCTCTCTCTATATATATATATGATCCTATTATGTATGCTTTTCCAGTATGAAGTCGTTGCATATATTGTACGAGAAGACTGATCCATGGACAGCATATGGGGCTGTTGTTTTGCATTCCAATAATGATTGGACCTCTCAACCAGAGTGTCGCAGTGCATGAGACGGGGCAGTCTGCAAGACATGGATGCATAGCATGTTATATATACAAGTATCATGATGCAATTGGCTTCGCTGCTTCAGTCCTTTAGCAGTTCTTGGGCTGCTAATGTTGCTCCCCCAGAACCATTCGCGGGTTTGATGAAACGGAGCTGAGCAGAGGTCCATTTGCACCTCAAAATCCGCAAGGGTTCAATGTGAAAGCCTCCTTGCCCTTGCCAACCTCCTTGCGAAGGCCACTGCCTTTCCAGCCTGAAAGCTTTTAGTGTTTTCGTCGCGACAAATGGCTGCTTATTTTGCCTTTAGTACACTATTATGAAATAATCGTCATCGTGCTGTTGTTGGCTTGAATGGGTGCTGGCCCTTGAACTCCCTAGTCTCCAGACGCGTGGCCTCGTCTCGTGCCGCATCCGAGGCCTTTGCGTGGCGCCCTCAGACCGGCAGCGTCAACGGCCCTCATTAATGTGCGTTTGTCATTCATACACTTGGTGGTGCATTGTTTGTGGGGGACCTCTATGGGGCAATGCCCCAACGGAGGGGGAGAGGGAGGGAGGGAGAGAGAGAGAGAGAGAGAAAGGAACAACGAGAAACTGGGTGGTGAGGGAAATAGAAAGAGTGAGAAGGTGGTGAGAGAAACAAAGTTTGTTGTGTTGCACATGATATGGTGATCCCACTCATAGATAAAAGACAGTGTCACTCCCAGAGCCCCCACGTTGGAATCGAACACCGAGAAAATCCCAAACACGTATAAACACGTCCACTTCGCACGAACAGGTCAGTCACGTATATACCTACATGGCAATGGATCATAAGTTGAAACACGGACCATTTTGGCAAATGTGGTGTGTTCAACAAAAGATCCGTTCTTTCGAGACTGGCCACTTTGGCAAGGAATCTGTAGAACCAAGAGTCCTACTTTATACAACAACAGATCGGTCAATGCATTTGGAATGATTTTGTCGGCCTTTGACGCCTATATACATGCTGGATCCTACCCCAATCAAGCGGCCTGTTCATTGTTTTTCGCTTTCACACGGACACGCATGATTGAACTGAGGAGCTCAACTGTACTCCACCCAGCTCACAGGTAAAGGTAAAGATCAGCCCTCCGTTTGTGAGGTCTTTATGCACCCAGTGGACGCACCGCCTTTGGCAATCACCACACCATTGACGGTGTGTTTTGCCTGTCGTAGCTACGAGAGCGGGACGCGAACTGAGGCCAGCCAGTGCCTTGCAGACCAAAGGGGCCAGATTATCCAACTCCTGCAGTTTGCGAAAACAGGAGAATGACTCAAGACTGTTCCTTCCAAACAGTTTGGTTTGGCCACAGTACTATGGCAAGTACTACTTCAAACAGGAGGAGCCTGTGGTCAAGTCGACTTCGGTACGGCACCACCTGGGGCTTCGACATCTATTAGTTTCATTTGTTTTCGTTCAAGATGTCGTTGGCTGCAATCTTTTCAAGGAACTGGCAGGGCCTGGCTCGTGCAGAGTACCTGGTCCAAAGTGACCCTGCCTGTGGTTTAGAAAAAGCAATCGAGAAAAAGAAGCTGAAAGCGCACCGGCCAACAGCTGCTAGCCCACGACGCTTTTCTGCCGGGCACCTCCACCCGAGGACTAGTTGCAACGGTTCACAGACACAACGTACCACACTATGCTATGGGCATGGCCCACCAATTGGCAGGTTTGCCGCAATGCTGAAACACTTTGTGTGATGCAGGTGGTGCACATGAGCAAGTACTGAAGCTATGCGTACTCAACACTCCGCTTTAAAGCGGTGTAGAGTGCACAACCGCTCCCGACTAGACATGTCATGGAACACTTCGATTTTGCAGCTGGAACTTGCGGTTTTGAGCCCTTTTTCCGGCAGCGAAACGAGACAAAGACGTAACGGAACGACCATGTGGTATCATTAGGATCAAATTTTGGCTCTCATTCAAGGAGGGAGGTCCCGACTTTTATGATGTATAGTCAAGCTATGTCAAGCTCTTGGTTGGCCAAAGATCAGAGGAGTCCACTGTGAACAGCATGCTTTAGTGAGACATTCCGGTATCCCTGACCAGTTCCTTCAGGTTTTCCTCGGGTTCGACCGAGGCTGGCCCAATGGGCAGCCACCCGCAGGGACCTGCTGGGGGCCAAGTCTGTGAGAAGGTCCTGCATGTCTAACCAGCAGTGTGCTTCTTCCGACTCACTAGCATAAAGAACGGAACTCCCTGTTGTAATAGAGCAACATGGTCGGTCAATTTCCACTTCCATGCTCGTGAGTCAGAGTCTACTCCTACAGACGATAGGGGATGAGAGAGCATCAGATCGATCGCGACCGGGACACTCGCTGTACCGATATGGAAAACAGACGACCCATGGCAGTTTTGTTTGAATAGGACGTGGCTTGACCTGTCCTAAAGATTCGTCAAGTTTTTTGTGGATGAGTTCAACATATAGACCGAAGATGTGGCCGTGGGCTCTTAGGTCTTGGATTCAATATTTGCCCCTTACTACTACGTCCCGGCCGCTCACACTTGCTACCTCGACATCCCAAACGAGGTTTCCGGATGCCGTTTGTGCTGCCTTAGGCCGTGCGGATCCCAGATCAAGCCAGGCATGGAATTTCAGCATGACGATGGCTCGAAACCCGAAGGACCCGTGGATTTTAGATGATTTTAGTATTATTAACATTTTGGTGTAATAACATTGTGACCCATGGATTTGAGTCTCAAAATCTTTATGTCCGTGCTTTCCATGTACTAAGTAGGTTTCGAGTCTGGGGTCTGGAGTGTTCCAGTCTGGGATACCCGATTTTTGTTAGCTCTGGCCACATGTGCATCCACCACGTTCTTTGCTGGTTTCATGAACTGAGGCATGCACGAGTCGGTGAGCGCCCCCTGGTCTCCAGCCTCAAGCAGTTCGGTTTGGTGCTGCTGTGGGAGTGAGGCAATATAGGACTATCGGATTGTCCAGCTGCATCCTAACGTTTATTGTTCCTTTGTTGTGCGTTTGTTCAAAGACAGATAAGACAGGGGGCAGCCAAGCATTTCTACTCCAAGGGTTGGAAGATCAAGACTAGTCTGGAGAGGGGTGGACCGATATTCTTGTCCTCCTTCGACTTGGGGGCTTGGAGTTTTAATCGGCGGCACGCTGGATGGGATTGATGAACATTGGTCCATTTCTGTTGGTTCCAAGTAACCTTTGGGACTCATTTGTGGCTTCCCTCTCCGCGTGGACCTTTAAGTGGGTGGCAGCAACTACATTCACTTGATGGAAGGATGTGGAGCTCATAGTGCATCATCCCTTGACTCGGAAAGCCTGCCGTCAGCCCACGAGGTCCAAGACCATCGAGCCTGCCGAGGCCAGCAGAGGGTGGAGAGTATCATGTTTGCAGGTGATGTTCGCCATGTCGCTGCAGTCTTGTGCATCTTCTGGGAACCGAGATTAATCGGAGCCGACCATGGACCCTCATAATCCAGTTAATGAAAGTCCTATTTGTTGCTGTTACTTTTGTTGATGCAACTTCAGATGCCTTGTTGCATTCTGGCTGGTTGGATTATGTTGGATTGGCCCACCTCAGCAACCCATCGAAATCTGAACAGCTGCTAACTCCACTCAAGAAAATCCTCGAACTCCCCTTTGGCTGTCCCTTCCTCCAACTTCACCCAGCAAGAGTTGCGCAGATCTGGATGAAAACCCCCCAGCTGACGCCGTGAGGTGTGTAGTTCCTTACGGAATGCCGAGATGGATGTGGAGTCCTTGGACTCGAGGAGCGGGGCGAGTTCGGGACCTGCAATCCATGCCCCCCGCGAGTTCAGGAGGGTTCTCTAATCAATCCAACACCATTGTAGAACCATGTAGATGATTATAGAAAACCATGTAGAATCATCTATAATCATCTCAACATGTCGTTTTCTCATAAACAACCAACACCATTGTAGATGATTTGGGGAGGAACATGAGTGCATGGATCAGTGATCCGTGAGAGCCAAATGTCGCAGTTTAGGAGCTGCACGTCATTCTGGGCTGCTCTCGCTTGGTGCATTGTAACCTTAGTAAGGGCTACCTCCATGTTACCTTTCGACGAAGGGTATGGCAACTGGGAGATTCGGGGGGTCCGCGTATCGACACCATGGTGAACCACTGAAACACCACGTGCAGGGTTCCATGTGCAGGCCATATGCGAGCGGGAGCATGGCAGAGGCCAGGCTAGGGTAATCGGACGCAGGTTCCTACCAACCCGTTTTGTGGTTGGAAAGTCTTCCATGTGATATTCCATTTCATATATTCCATTTGATTCCATGTGAGTCGAAGGCCTGTAGCGTTTACACGAGCGAAGGATGAGGAGTCGGCTGCGCGATTCTCACTGATACATACATACAGACTGATACTATCGTTGATAGCACCTGAACCTGCTTGTTGAACTCCGGCTTCAAGGCTCTACCAAAATATAATAACAGTAGAACTTTGGGGCGCTTTGTCTTCACAAGAAGCTTGCAGAAAGAAGCCTCATAAACCCCTCTTCTTTTGAGATGACTCGTTTGATGGTAAGCAGCAGTGGAGCGTGTGATGTCTCGTGCGATATGTTCATCCAAGACGTGCCTCCGCAAAGCTTCAAGAAGGCTTTCACGGCTCTACAAAGTACTATATGCAGGAAATAATAAAGGATTGAAAAGGTCAAAGCAGACCAGGTACACGCCTGCAGGGCAGACTGATCTGGATTCTGAAGCCTCGTGCCTCCCTCGTGCCTGGTGGTTTGCAACGGCCACACTCGCCGCCACCGTGGTGGGTTCACCTTTCGGCGGCGACCGCAAGGTCTACTTCGGCACGTTGAAAGATGGTACAGAGGTGGCGGTGAAGTGCATGAGGCGAAACAGCGAAAAGAATGGAAGCGAGACTGAGGTGGAAAGGATCCCCGTGTGAATTTAGGTTGATGATGGTTGATGTTATATGGAGCTATATAGAATATATATATATATACATAGTTAATATATATATATATTAAATAAGGAATCCTCATCTCAAGTCCTCGATGAGTTTCTGCGCTGACTCCAAATTTGTTGTAGACCTTGATGTATAGTAATGCTCAATCACCTGTGTGGAGCCTTGCATAAACAATGACAAATCCAGTGGTCTCAGAATGTCCCAGAACCACCGGCATTGGATCCTGGCCATTATATTGTGTCCGTGCTGTGGTTGCGGTCCTCGTCATCGTGGTTGTTGTTGTTGCTGTTGCTGCTGCTGCTGTTGTTTCTCAAATTCACCGGCTTTTATTGATAGCCTGTTTCATTTGCTATTCCTTCGCTTGTGGTTGCACACATTTGTGCTGCGTGGTCTTGGTGGTTGGCATCGGTATTTCGCTAGTTTTGTAGGTGCTTGCGGGACCCCTCCACACCTTTAGCCCTTTTCCGTCTCCGTGCTAAAGGCCAGGGGTCAAGCACTTGCTCGAAGCTGATTTGGCCTGGCTCCTGCGCCCGGGCCCAAGTAGGCATGGTTTTGGGAACTGACAAGATGTTTGATAAGTAGTGGAACCAGTACAAATCATGCAAGAGTCATGCAAACAGCAAACACCAGTGTGTTTTCCTACTTACTTATGCAGTCCTTTGCTAGAAGATCCTCGTGCATGCTCGACACGGTTTTCCACAAGCAGAGGCAAGCAGGTCCTAGGCCCTAGGCTCTCAGAAAGGTCTTCAGATGTCGCCAACAGGTCTCACGGTGATGTTCCACCCTTGTGGCTTTCTACGTGTGCTTGGTATGTTAGTTTGAGGGAGTGCGCCGAGAATGTCAGAGGGACTTCGCTAGACGGTCGTCTCTCCATGCTTCAACGCACAGAACCTGGACCTCTTTGGTGCAGGGCTGCTGCGCTTTCTTACGCCACAGCATGCTATTCCAAAACCCAGACTTTGTTTAAACTGGTGGGTTGTAACAGTGAGCTGTTATTTATGAATCTATAATACTATATATATATTTTTTTAAGTTGTTAACTATAATTTACAACCACGATTAATCATTGAAACCGCCCTTAAACATGTTCCTTTTCTTTGTTTACAATGGGAAATGCCGTGCCATGCGCTCCCTATGCCTTCGGCCAAGAAGGCCTCAGTAGCTGGGCCGACTCGCTGGAGCCCTTGCGCTTGTCAGGGGGCCGAGTCAGGTCCGGTTCGGTGAACCATTAAGGGAATCGGTGAAGTTTCACGGGTTTCCCATG